GTGTTGTATGGTGAATCGAGATTTTAAATGAAGTGGGTTTGAATACTCTTGACTGTTTTGTGAAATCGAGTTACGTCTGTGATTGAAGGATTAAAAGGGTGTCTATAGGATTGAATATGCGGAGTGAATGAAATTTATTGGGTTAATCTAACAAGACAGTCAGTGGATACAAGATCGTAAGTACAAAGCAGTATTGAAGGTTAACAGTTTGGGTTGTACGGGGTTCTCTGTAACGTCTAGAGACCTACCGGCTGGGGCAAAAAGGACTTCGACAAGCAGTCGAAGAGCACCCGTATAGATTTACGGTACATTGTTGCAGTCGTTTATATTCCAGCAGTCAAAAACTGATAGACTGCTTGACTATCGGCGAATCTCCATACTAACTTCTACAGCCAGACGCCCGGCGCGTTCTCGAGCAGGAAAGCACGTAATACGACAACGGTTGGATGAAGGCAAGGAATGAAGATCTTCATTCCTATTGGTCAATGGCTATGTCCAATGGGCTTCAAAGAAGCTACCTAAGGCCTTATTAGGGATTAAGGCTTCTCTTTTGAAGTCATTCGAGCTTTGGAACCTATGATCAATAGATTTAGGATTTTAGGTAAAAATTGGGGTGTAAATTTTGTGTGATTTGGAATTTTTATGAAGGAGTTATTGGTGCTCAAAGTTAAGGTATCAATTTCATATCTACTATCACTCTTTGGAACATAACATACATTTACAAAAAAAAACAAAAGATCGACATAGGATAAAAGAGAGCACTTTTTTGACTACACTTTTCATATATTGTTTGATAAATTTAGAATTCTGATGAAGAAGTTATAGAGGGTTGAAGTCAACACATCCAAATCAAAGGGAGTAGATAAGTGGTTTTGTTTAAAATAATGGTTGGAGCCATAACTTGAGTTTTTGGATGAATTTTGGGCTCAAACTTTTTGGAAAAGATAGATTATTGTATGAAGAAGCTATACATATAAATTTTGTGGAATTTGAATGCTTAGTTTGAGAGATATGAAAAAAACTGCAGACAGGTATATTAAGATAAGGGTTTGAAGTGATTGTTAGGATTTTCAAGATATCTCAAGATCCGCAACAAATTTGCAATTGAAATTTGTTGTAGAAGTTAATAAGAATAAATCGATACTTTACGTAAAATTTGAGTAAGTTTAAACAGTTAAATCAGGAGTTATGAGGTATTGAAGTTTGGAAAAATTCTCACATACGGAAATATAAAGATTAGTGGATTTATCATATTTTGGATGTTATTGGTTACTTGAGGCTTATGTATTTGGTGTAATTGCTCCAAAAGGGAAATAATATATATATACTTAGGGCTTCTCTTGGTTTGAACCTTGATTGAGCAATTAGTGATAGCTAGGAGCCCAGTGCTTTCTTAAATATATATATATATATATATATATATATATTAAAACTAACTAGTCAATCTCTTCACAAAGTTGGTAACCATATACAAATGACAGGATAAAATGACCAAACTAACCAATTGGATCACTTGTAAGATAAGAAAAGTCTCTCAAAAAAATCAACAGAATCACATATATAATGAATCAAACAACATAACATCATCACAATTCACATATTCATGCAACTATTTATTATTTATTTATTGTAAGCAATAAAAAATAAAAAAATAAAAAAATTGAAATTTGAAAACTTTAAAATGTATTGATGTCATTAATATGAACTATACATAATGTGAAATTCATGGATGTGCACCATTTAAGAATAGTAGTACATGTGGAGAGACTACTGGTGAATGCAATAAGTTTACCCTGGTAAGTTGGAGCCCTCAATAGTTGCCACGATTGTGTGTAGTGAGCAGAGAGCACTTCGTAGGTGTGCTGGAATCAGAGGCATGTCGTGGCTTTCCTTCCCCTTTTCCAGGTCCATCACCTGATGCTTGAGCGAGCGTACTGCAACACCACACTTCCGACATTGGTGCCAAGACTTCTTCACGAACGACCAACTTCCACAAGTGGGGCCACGGCGAGCACAGCCCTGTTCTGGAACAGAATCCCAGCGCTGGGATGGATGAGGTGGAGGATATCACCCAGCTCTCAACGTTCCAACATCCGGTTATCTCCCAGCTCTCGGACTTTGTAGACGTCTGTTCGGAACGGAATTCCACGAAGACGTGCGTGAGGAGAGCGCGTTCTGGGCGAACGGTCGTCGTACGGACTAGAGGGTCCCCTCGTGCAAACCTAGCGGAGCGTGGACTCTCCCTTTCACGTCTCTCACCTCCCGTCTCGCATGCCGCTGCCGGTTCGCTTTTGATGCGGTGCTTCAGCGTGAGGTATTTCCTGATCCCGAGGCTTCGCAGGCGTGGAGTTTCGCTCGAGGCGGAGGGCTCGAGAGCGTTGTAGTGCAGCTCGATTCGGTATGGTTTTTGGTGCGATGTCCTTTTTACGGCTTTGGGTGTGGGATGTGTTCGTGCGTGATCCTTGTTTGCTTTTATGGTTCCTTCCCTTGTCTCGTCGTGCGGTTGTTGGCCAGTTTCTCTCGTTTCGAGATGGTTCGATCTGGCGGTAGCTGCACTTGGTGGTGCTTTTTGGTTGCTGCGGGTCTTGGGAGGTTCGCGACGGGAGAGTGGGAGCGCAGGGGAATTCGAGGATTTATGGGTGTATTTTGTGCAAGCCGGGAGCCCGGCTGCGGTGGGGGTGGTGGATCCACACGTCTCCCGCATGGCGCAGTTGGTAGAAAAGTTGGGAATTTGGGAGGCGGATCTGGAGAGCCGGTGCGTTGTAGCCGGCGAGGACTTATTAGCGCTGGGTGTGTGTTCCGTAGTGCTTCCTTGGTCGATGGCGGTAGCGTTGGCGCGTAGAGGAGACGTAGGCGCGAAATGCAGGTGTGCGGAGTGTGTGTCGATCCTGCGCTGGAACTCGGGTGGTTGAGGGTTCACGGGCTTCTTTATTCCGGCCACCTTGTGTCGCACCGGCGGTTTGTTTCCGGCCCGAGTGTGCGGGTCGTTCACTTTGATGTTTTGCGAGATCCAACAGGGGCACGGTGAAGGATAGCTAGTATGTTTCAGGTGCACAGTGGTAGGATCGACTAAGTATCACGTGTCTCTGTGGAAGGCGAGAGCCATCCACAGAGCCAGACAGTTCTGACTAGACGGCAGCCGAGCAGCATTTTCTCATCATGACGAAGCAGTGGCTCCGCCCAGCACCGGGTCGATGTACGCCGGTGGTGGTCGTAACGAGGCGATGTCGTGGTGGTAGTGGGCTGGAGGTTCCGTATTAGGGTTGAAGGGGTTTATGGCGGACGCCGATCACAGTGGCATTGTGTTCGCTGGAGTCAGCGACTTGGGCGTTTTGTTGCGACGAATCGATCGCAGAATGACTCCAGCGATTCAATGTGTGGGATTGATACGAAGGGTGCCGTAGCGGTAGAATCGTGCATGTGCACATGCATACGCGGATCAGAAGCGTTCCGGGCCATGAATGTTTTATCCCGGTCGCTGGCGAGCTGCAACTTTACGAGCGGGTTCCGGCAGCGGTTCGCTTCCGGGCCCGGACCGCCCGCAGTCCTCGCAGTGGAGCGATCTTTGCAAACGCTAGACATCTACTTTGACGGTTGACATGCGCGGCGAGGCAGCTGCTGACAAACCGGGTTTGTGGAATTTCAGGTGTGTGCAGCAGCATGTGACGTGTAGCCTCGGTTGAGCAGCAACTGCGCCAGTCCCAAGTTGTGGGAACCGGTGCGAAGCATCTCCAAGCTACCGCAGCCTGTAGGGGTCGAGAAGATGCAGTCGGCCGTGGAGAAGGCCCAGGAAGTCATGGAGGAGCAGGGCAGAGAGGTGGACGCAGCGGGCGCCGGTAAGGGTTGTCGGATGTGCTTGGGGGTCGGCCTTCGTGGGGCATTTTGGGGGTGGATGTGACAATGTGGTGCGCGGGGATGCTGAGTGGTGTTTTGGCTGCGCAGGCGCTGAGGCGGAGAAGCAGTCGACGGCGGATGCGGATGCCATCCTCCCCGAGGAGGCGGTGACGAAGGGCAATGGCAAGATCGGTGGAGAGGCGGGCGAAGGTGGCGCTGTTGTGGAGGCGGAGAACGGAGTGGCGGGCTTGGAGAAGGCGGTAGCGGCGGCGTCGACGGATTGGGACAATGCGCCTGCGGTCGGGTGGGCGAGCGCGGAGGCTCCCGAGGGCGCGGAGGGTGGCGGTCCGGGGGCGGAGGCATTGGCAGGTGCGGAGTCTGGCGTTGTGGGTGGCGCTCCCGCGGAGAAGGCACCGCTGCAGGTGTACAACTTCTACATGGTGAGGGTCCCCAGACCCGCGGACAAGCAAGGGAGGGTTGAGATATCGTCGGCCGAGCAGCAGTTGCAGGACAAGACGGATGCACGCAACGCGCACAACAGCACGGTGCAGGCTGCGAGGGTGAAGCGGAACGAGGCGTTCGAGAGGCTGAAGGCGGCCCGGCAGGTGGAGCGGGACTGGTTGACGCAGGTGCGCGCGAAGCAGGAGGAGATGAAGCCGCTGAGGGACAGCCTGCGGAAGTTGAGGGAGGCGGGGCGGGAGGTGCGAGAGAAGAGCCGGGACATGCCAACGTCGGAGGAGGAGCTGGACCACAGGGTGGCGTCTCTGGAGTGGAGGATCCAGCACGAGAGCATCCCGTTGAAGGAGGAGAAGCAGCTGATGAGGGAGATCAAGGCGCTGCAGGCATCGCGTGAGGCGGTGCGCGCGAACGCGTCCCTGTTCGCGCAAGTGCAGGACGCTCTGGGGCAGCGGGACGAGCTGGAGGGCGCGCTGAAGCCATTGGACGCGTATAACAAGAAGCTGGACGTGGAGT